CGCTATTCCCTCGCATTGTGTCTTGGGCTTAATTCTTATCCACTAGCAAGCACTAGCAAGATGTCGACCGTCGAGTTGAATCCGAAACCTTTGCGGGTTTCTCCTTTCATCAAGGTAAAAAGAAGCTTCTCTTGAAACGTTCCGTCATTGCATATAATTCTGCATATCCTTGTACGTTTTATTTCATGGGAAAACACGGTTCTTCTCGATTATCTAACTGAGTCTTCTCCATCTGACGATCGGATTCATTTTATTACATAATTTATTTACTGTTTGTAAAGGTATTTAAAATTAATAAATTTATATAAAAAAATAATTAATGATAGCATTGTCACGATAGTTCGCGGTTCTGATTTTTATTAAAGGGTTTCTTTCAACGTCACCTCTCAATTTTCTAACCTTGAAAAAATTTAAAGGATTTTATTTTGCATAAAGTAAATGTTTGAAATTTAATAATTGATTTTTGGCTGTCTGTTATTTAGCAAATTAAATTTTGCCCTCAACTCTCAGAAATGAGACTTGTAAAATTAGTTAATGTGTTTATTTCTCTTTTTATAAACATTAGGATACATAAACAATCTCTGTTTTTAATTAAATATATCTGTACTTCCTAGTTTTGCCGCTGGAGTCTGCTCCTTACTGGAATTGCTTATGGTGCATACCATCACAGAAGATTGAAGAAAAGAGAGGATGCTCGTAGAGCAGAGGAGCTGAGACTTAAACCTATGCGCGACGCCAAGCTAGCTGAGGAGAAGAGACTTTCTTTAATAGGTAAAGCACTTGACTACATACATAAATATAAGGGAAGAATAACAAAAGTATAAATAAACCTTTTAAGAAGCATAAATTAGAACAGCGAAAAGAAATGGAAAATGTTTAAAATCTTTTAAAATTCTGTCACTCTTATTACATTTGATTTACACTCCAATCTTTATTTTTGCCAGGAATCTTTTATTTCATAATATTAAGTCTCATTGTCTAGAAAATGTTTCATAGAACTGTTAGAGTAACTCCGGTATATACGCCGCACCTATCAAAAACTTAATTTATTAAGTATTATTTACTATGTTTATAGTAAACGAACTATATCAGTAAAAACTTTGTACTGTCTACTATTATGAAAAAAATATTAGAAATCTAAAATATTTATTTTTCATATTAAAAAATAAACTTTTTGAAACCTTGTATTTTTGCCGCATATTTCATAGGGATGGGATATATGGCTACTCATAGGGGGAAAGGGGGTATGTACGGCTCATGAAAAATTTACAAATAATGCAAACATGCTTAATAATATAAACATGCTTTACTATTCCACTACACGTATGTATCACGAAATAACCACTAAGTCTTTTACACGTCCTACATTAATCATTTTATGTAGATTATAACTTATGATGGCGTTACTTATTACAGTGACAAATTAATTCAACTCACAATAAATTCATTAATATTAACAGTAAGAAGCTGAAATCATAACATAATACTAATATAACATAAAGGCATGTAACAGAGTAATTATGGGAAAATTACCCCCACTCCTTCTATTTTTTCTGACTTCTGTGGCGTAAATCCCAGCGCGGCGTATTTGCCGGAGTTACCCTAAATGTCTTTAATCAGTTTTTTTTTTTCATTAATTTGATTTATTATGAATCTTTTTTCATCATTTTTTAAAATCATAATCGAAAATAAAACTTTGCTAAAGAACTTTTCACTAGTCATAAAGTGAGATTGAAAGAGCACCTATAATTTTACAGATTGTGTATACAAATATGTTATATAAATGCGTTATAATATAGTTTGAAAATATATCATAAATTTGAACCTTTCTTTCTTTTCAGCGGAACAAAAAATGCTTGACGAATTTTTCGCTCCGGCCAAGGCAACATAAACATAATTTGTTTGGTGTTAGTATATATATATATAATGTATGTTACACGAGCGAAATACTGAATGATTTGTATGTATCTATAGAACTAGTCGACTTGCTACTTTAACATCATTGTCACAGTCACAGATAATACTATTTCTTTTATTGTATAAAAATAATAAATAAAGATCTGTGTAAAAATATAAATTATGTATAACTCTCTGCAAAACATGTATGAAAAGTATGAGATTTTATGATAAATATATTCCAATAAAATATGTTACATATTAATTAAAATTACTCAAATTACTGCAGAATATACTATCCCCTCTCGAGTAAAAAAAAAACGCCCGAACAGGGACTCGAACCCTGGACCCTCAGATTAAAAGTCTGATGCTCTACCGACTGAGCTATCCAGGCCTATAGCTTACTTTTTTTAATGTGTTAGTTAATATGGATACAAGTATTTATCTTGGTATTAAAAACCTAACAATTTTTTTCTTAAAAATATAATTATTCAAAAATTAATAATAACATAAAACTTTTTTCAAGACAATTTATGACTACAATAATTTTTAATATTCAATATTGAATATTTTTTAAGTAATATTGTAAGATATTAAAATATTAAAATTTACTCGATAAAAAATAAATTTTTGAGAATTAAGAATAAAAAGAAACATTTGATTATATTTGCGAAGTTCAACGAGGAGAAAAAATCTACAAGAGAGACAATTCGTGATGCTTTAAGTGATCTTCCTTTTTTGTTTTTGCAACATTTAATACAGTATATGTATATAGTTTATACATTCACAACAATAACAGATATGCAATATACACACAGACATAATAATTATCCGTTTCTTTAAATAATTAAACTTATGTATATAATAACATACAAAAATATATAATGTTGGAATGTAAGTTTAAAAATATCAAAAACATTGGTTCTTATTGATACAAAAATAAAACTTTCGAAGGACTTGCCATCCTTGAACATATCTCCTTCTTTATATAACAATAAACGAGATATATCTATTGTAATAACGAGGTATATCATATTGTCATAAATGCTTCAAGACTTTTGTTCCCATGAATTTTATTCATTTGATATCTTTAAGCCGTGATCAGATCCGTTTCATTATTCTTAGTAATGAGTTGCAGGAGAGAACCGTTAGCAGGCCGATCTTGATTTTGAGACCATTTCCAGAATAAACTATAAACAAAGATATGTATTTTTTTATAATAGAAATCACAAAATATTAACTTGATAAAATTGTAAACGTTTCATCTTACTTGGACACAAACTCGAGTGAAGTCCATGTGCTCGAGTCAGCTTTGGGCATCCATTTCCTGTTCATTGGCGTATCTAAAGTAACAGGTAGTATGCAAGCTACCAAACTGTTGGAAGGAAGACCGCTATCTTTAGCCGCCAAAGATTTTGTCAACTGATGAACAGCTGCTTTTGCCATACCATAGCCAATCATACCTAATAATTGAGCGAAATCGATCTTTTAGCGAAATACAAAGAAATGTACAATACATATATTTTATATTATCATTTATCAAAAAAAACCTGGTGTTCCTTCTAACGCCGGTTTAGCACCAGTCAAAGAAAGAAATCCTCCTTCCTTCAAGTATTCAGCCGCAATACTGGCAGCTATAATGGAACTCCAAACGCTTTGTTTCCACATCAAGTCGCTGTTTTTCACGAAATCTTTATGCGCTGCATTACCACCGGCCCATCCTCCAGCCACACAAATAATGCCATCGACTTTTTCGTTTTTTAATATATCTTTAACTTGAGTCAAGATTTCTGTTTGCTGTATAACAAGAAATTAATTAATGCCTATCGCTTATGATAAAAATATTCATAATAAAAATGTAAGCAACAAAAAATTACCTGCTGTTGCCAATTATTGTCAGGATTTACAATCATATTTGCATCTGCTTGCTCGTTTGGCTTCATGTCAATGGAGCCAACCCACTAAAAATTATGATACACATATATGCTAAGAATTATAATAAACATATACACTGTGTCAGAATAAAAATTTATAATAAATTAATAAACAAAAATAAGTTTTTATTTAATACCAATAAATCAACAATATTATATAAAAATATATAATAATTTTATAATTATGTAGTTTTTATACACAAACAATAATATAAATGGTATTAGTTATTAAAACAATATTGTTAATAAGATAATTAGGATATAATAAATATATTTGCATAAAATTGCTTTTCAGTATATAAAACATGATTTATCTGAATTATATACAGTAGAGGTAAATTGCATCTAGAAGGCTTTGTGAAAGAGAGAGGACTTGCCTGACTAGCAGTAACCTTGGTACACTTAGTTTTTATGCAACATTCTTTTAACAATCACATCTACTGTATATAAAATCTGAAGAAAAAAACTAAAAAAAAAATATTTCAATTGAATTACAAATTTTTCGAATTATATAATATAATCATATTAAAATAATATTTTTATTTATTGTTATACAAATATAGCTGCATGAAATATGTATTTTTGACGCGTAAAAATTAAAGTAATAAATTTAACAAAGTTCTATGTATATCGCTTATAATCTAGAATTATTCCGCGAAATATTTAATCCACCGCAGATTAATAAAACCAGGAAAATTGAAGAGGAAACAATTGACTGCCATTCGAATCGAATCATATGGCACTTCTATTAATTGGCGTTCGATATGCACTTAAATAAATTCCACGTAAATTACAGGAAAATAGGAAAATTTTATTGCGATAAATTCTGTGGCAAGAAAGGTTGAAACAGACGAAAATATCGATGTACGATTTATAGAATGATCGGGCAAAAGTCACCGATAAATCGAATGATAAAACTCGATTAAACTTCAACGTTATCGTTCTAATTTATTTTTACGATTTAATTATTAGGTATGCTATTTATATTCTTTTGTATACACATACATATATTAATATATATACATAAATGCCCTCTTTTCATTTGTTTATAAAATTATTTAATAGAATGTCGGGAGCAGAAACCTCTAATCAAATTCTATGTGACCGATAAGATCTTCTGATAAGACGGCTGCGCGATTAATAGAATTTCGATTACGTCGGATGCGAAGATAACATTATTCATGAGTCCCGCTTACTCACCCAATTTTGCGATTTAAATTGTGATACGCAGGCTGAGCCGAGGGCACCCTTGCCCCCGTACACAATTACACGTCCGAGTACCGCGGCCATTGTTCGATAAGTGACACGATTTTATAATACCAATCCGGAGTTCCGCGATTACTGACGGAAAAATACGAGTGCGCACGAAGCCGCGAAACTCTTTCGGAAAGTTTCGTCGTTTCGTGAAGGGATCGCCGGGTCTTGTCATGAACTATGTACTTGTAGATGGTCATCCGAGTTTCGTCTCCTCGAGATATCTACCGGTAATGCAGACTTTTCTTAATTATTAAAAATAAAAAAAATGGAAAAAGTCGGGCAACGATAATTAACACGTTAATTTCTTAGATAGAAGTGAAAGCTAAGTGATTTCTTAGGAGGATGCTAGAGTGCCGAACTCTGATGGAATTGTCTACCGTTCGTTTTATCGATTAAATGCAATTTACATACATATGATTTTAACGAATGAACAAATTATAATTAAACTAATATCGTAGTTTCCTATTTATTTTTTTATAAGCTTCAAAATCATAATCTCAATTTATACTCTCAATGTTATTCAAATTTGGATAAGTATTTTCAGTTTGATTATATATATATTATATAATTATACTAATTAGACTCATTTAATTATATTATTTAATTATATCATATGTGAAGGAATAACCTAGCTGTCATCGATATACACCTTAATGTAGTCGTAGAATACTCGTAGAATACTCGTAGAATAGGAATAGAGTTAAAAAATTTAATATTTTCATAATTGGAAGCACCTATATTATAATGAAAATTATAAATTATAAATAAAAATTATATTATACAATAAATTATATACATAGAATTTTTTTATCTTTTAGATAATTAGAGCCCATTTTTTTCAACGTAGATTAACCTTAATCTCGGTTCAATTAACTCTTCATCTTTTTCTAGTTCCAAAAATTAAATAAAGATGAAAGATAAATTGAACTGAAATTAAAGTTAATTTATTGATTAATTAATGTATTGATAAAAACAGGCATAAGTTAATCGGCGATTTATTTGATATTCGTTTAAGGGGATGCTGGAGCCGTCTGTATTACCGATAAAACTAGCGTTTTTAATGTTTTTGTTCCTGTCGAATTTCTTCGTAATGGTTTCACAGAATAAAAATTCCTTTTCCACGATTAAAATATACATGCTAATGTGTTTGTCGTTGGTGTATTTTGTATTCGAAGCTGGAAAAAATAAAAAAATACAAATTTTTTTATTCATTTTACCTTCAGCGTTGGTGGACATACTGAGATAAAAATGGATAAAGAAATCTGTAATTTTTTATTTTTTCCAGTTTCGAATACAAAATACACCAACGACAAACACATTAGCATGTATATTTTAATCGTGGAAAAGGAATTTTTATTCTGTGAAACCATTATGAAGAAATTCGACAGGAACAAAAACATTAAAAACGCTAGTTTTATCGGTAATACAGGTGGCTCCAGCATCCCCTTAAGGGGATTAACTAGCGTTTTTAATGTTTTTGTTCCTGTCGAATTTCTTCGTAATGGTTTCACAGAATAAAAATTCCTTTTCCACGATTAAAATATACATGCTAATGTCGTTGTCGCTGGTGTATTTTGTGTTCAAAGCTGGAAAAAATAAAAAATTACAGATTATAAACGCTAGTTTTAAATTAAAAACGCTAGTTTTATCGGTAATACAGGCGGCTTCAGCATCCCCTTAAAGGGAGCGATACGCGGCTGAAAAGGAACCGCCCTTGAAGAATCGCGCGAAATTCATATCTCCCTCGAACATGACGTCGGATTCGCCACGATTCGCAGCAACGTCACGGCGGTCGCGCGATGAACCAATAGGCGGCGCCGGTGGCGCTCAACTTCCACCAGAATCCTCGGTAGGTCAGTCTAGCGTGACGTCACGTTCGTCAGCCTAGTTGGGTTAGGTTTTACGCTGGAAATTCTAACGACAAATTT